CGTTGGCCATCACTTGTCGATCGTCGTTGATCTGCATCGCTCGTCACTCACTTCTTATGACAGGTTCATCTGCGCACCGACTTTGTAGCTCGAAAAATTGTGTAATCATTTCCCACCCGTAGGATAATTAACTGTACTTGTAATCTTTATTTTATAATAGATCTCTTTAATTGGGTCAGGCTTCGTGGCTTTTTCTCTTTACAGGTTTATCCACGTAAAAAACATATAGTGTCTTTCCTAGTTGTTTTTTTTTCAATCGAGTGTGTGTTGAATTCTCATGCAATGTTAAAACCGTAATTCATTATCTACCGCCTCAAATATTCTAGAATGCATCAGCTTTGCGTCGTCGGTGGGAAAGGAAGTCCAGTTCGACATTGTCTTCAACTCCAAGACACTGAAATCTACTTTCTTTCCTATTGATATACATCATCCAATTAGCAAAAAAACATCCTTTGCATATTCGTTGGCCATCACTTGTCGATCGTCGTTGATCTGCATCGCTCGTCACTCACTTCTTATGACAGGTTCATCTGCGCACCGACTTTGTAGCTCGAAAAATTGTGTAATCATTTCCCACCCGTGGGATAATTAACTGTACTTGTAATCTTTATTTTATAATAGATCTCTTTAATTGGGTCAGACTTCGTGGTTTTTTCCCTTTACAGGTTTATCCACGTAAAAACATATAATGTCTTTCCTAGTTGTTTTTTTTTCAATCAAGTGTGTGTTGAATTCTCATGCAATGCTAAAACGGTAATTCATTATCTACCGCCTCAAATATTCTAGAATGCATCAGCTTTGCGTCGTCGGTGGGAAAGGAAGTCCAGTTCGACATTGTCTTCAACTCCAAGACACTGAAATCTACTTTCTTTCCTATTGATATACATCATCCAATTAGCAAAAAAACATCCTTTGCATATTGAAGATCATCTTTGAATCATTCTTCAATGTGGGGGGCAACCTTCGTTGCAGTCTCGAAAGGTGATTCACGTCAACGTCCTGGACACGACTGTAGTGGGGTAGTCTTATCGCAATCTATTTATACACAAAGCCTTTCACAATTTCTTCTAGGCTAGGGGCAAACTTCACTGTAGTTTCGACATCCCGGGCATGATTATAGTGAGGTAATATTCTTGCATCCTATTTAGGGCTGTCAAAACGGCTCGTTGTTCGTGAACAGCTCGTGTTCGTCTCGTTAAGAAACTCGTGTTCGACTTGTTAATTTTGTTCGATAAGTTAATGAGTCGAACACGAACTAACGTGTTCGGCTCGTTTTGGCTCGAAATACTAC